CCCCCCCCATGGAAACGGGTTTTACGGCGACACAAGAGTAAAAAGCTGCCGTCTTATCAAATACACGCGTAGGCTATATATGTACATACAGACTGGGTGTGGAGGCGGGAATGCTGACACGTATTTTCACACACGCCGGAGCTCTGTGGCTCTACCTCCTGTTTTCACTGGTTACATTTCTTTACCTTATAAAAGTCTTTTAACGTCGTTGTTTTGAATATTTTTAAAGATACCTGATTTTTTTAGAGATCAGCGCTTTTTTTTTCTTTTCTTCTCTACAATGAAACTGTACAGTCACCGTCCTCTCAGTACTTGATGTGACACATCAGCAGTCAAACCCCATCTTGGGTTTAGAGAGTTTAGGCGTTAGAACGTCTGCTTGTTTTGGATTAGATCCACAAACCATCAAAGAATGTCGCCTCTCCTTCATCTTTTTCGGACCTCTGCAGGTTTTTTTTTTTCTCAGCGAGATGGTCGGCCAGCGGGGTTCTAATCTCTCGCCGCCCCCCGGGGGTCCTGGGTGAAAGTCTTCCACGTGCACCGAGGCGTTTATAGCATCAGGATCCTCTGTGGTGTTCGCGCGGACCCCGTGGTAAGAGGGTCCGGCGTGCACTGGGCTCAGGTAAGAACAAGAAGAGATGAAGTCGTCCTTCCCCACCAGGACGTAATGGGATCATCGCTCCTTCAGCCGAAGTTGAAAAATACTTTTTTATTTTCATTTTTTTTAGAAAGTACTCCCGATCGGAGCCCCCCGAAGAGTCAATCCTCTCCCGCTAAAGTTTATGTTGCCTATAAATAGTAGTCAGAATCCAGAAGTCCTATTTCATCTACAGCTTTTGGAAGCTATAATATTTTCCCGACGTGTTGTCGGGTGTAAAAGGCCTTTTCCAGACCGATGGTAAAGTCCGGACCCTCCCCGTTTCGCTTTTTCTTTCAGAAAAGGGAGCGATCGCCTCAACCGGGGCGCCGTCACAGGTAGACCTCTCGGCGGGACAGCGTCAGGCAGGACGTGGTCTTGTAGTCTCCGCCGGTGCGCGTCAGCGGGATGACCTCGGCCGGGTTCCGGCCCTCCCCCCCCTCCTCTTCCGGCTGGCGCCTCCCGAAGCCCGCGCTGCTGAACGTGTCGTAGGACGCCGAGGTCATCTTGCGGTTCAGGAGGTTGCGGTTGTGGTCGCCCATGTTCCTGTTGCGGTCTCCGTCCCCCAGGCTGCCGAGAGGACCCCCGTTGGCCAGGGGCAACCTTTGACCCTCCTCGCCGCCGACCACCCCGGGCTCCGAGCTCCCCGCGCTGCCGGCGCTTTCGCTGTCGCTCTCGTGGTCGTTGCCGCGGAGGTTGTTGTTGTCGTCGCCGGGGGCGAAGGTGGAGAGCCGCGGGGGGTCGCTGCCGTGGCGCTGGCGAGGGGAGGGCCGCACGGGCATCCAGCAGGTGTCGGAGTGGCCGAATTCGTCGCACTCCCGGGTGCACTTCCCGGTCAGAGCCACGTCGGGCAGCTGCCTGGCGTCTGCACGCGGGGAAGACAAAGGAAGAGGCATGACGGTGAAAACGGAGCTTCATTTGAGGACTTGAGGAGGAGACACGGGGACCAAAGGGCCGGTTGTCTTTGTGTTGCTTTACGTCAGAAGACGAATATCTATTGGTTCATTTTAATGAATAATAATTTGCCGTATTCGCCTGCAGTGTCTTCAAACTGCACAGACTGTATTGTTACAATACATATCTATTCCTCTCTATTATTTATTATTATTATTATTATTTATTATCTTATTACTAAAAGGATATTTATTTTATGGCTATTCACTCTAATACGTCAGCACGATGAAACGATCATTTTGAACCTGGTTTTATTCACTGTTCACGTTGCGGTTGAAGACATCGGCTAATATACATATCTAAATATATCACTTCGGAAAACAAGTAATTAAGTAATTGACTGCGGAGGTTTTATAGTTTTATAATCTATCAATTAATGACCTTTTAACCTCATTGATTCCCTTAAATGAGAAGAAAAGCAGGCGGGCATAGAAGAGGAGAAAGGCTGCAAGGCGAGAATGCCGTCCAAGCACGATAGAAATTGCTGACTTAAATCACATGTTTCAATTCCAGCTTAGCGCTCTCACATGAGAGGTCAAAGGTTGAGTCAAACAATTAACCCTTGCAGCCAAATAGAAGATTATCTCAGTGACAAATCTGGGCTTCCCTCCTATGAGAGTTAGAGATCAAGTTAGATATCGAGCCTGTCACTTCCCATGAGAGTTGGTTGAAGAGGTGTCAAAGGTCTTCTAGTGGTCGCCTCATCTGACGTTGCGACGATGCGAGATGAGCTGCGTGAGGCTCCGCAGGCGCCCCGTTACACTTAAAGGGAAAGCACCGTGACGAGTAACGGAACAAAACCCCCAATTTATTCACTGTTTAGTTTTTCTAAATCCCGCTCTGTTAGAATGCAACACGAGAAATCGGATGTTTCTGTCTTATTGCAAAAGCTAATTCCGGGTCTGCGTCTTTGTTCGGCGGTGAAACCGCGTGAAGCACAAACAAGCACATCATTACACAGTATAATTATTCTCTGTTCAGTGCTTCCCTCCCCCTGACCGTGAAGCAAACTTATTAAAACTCCACAATATTCTCGAGCCCCCACACGTTGCTGAGAAAGCAGCATTTAACCCTGAGAGAACAATCGCCAAGGTCGCTGCGACCTTGGCGAGCTGCCGCACAGGAAGAGGAGGAAAGGAAGGAATTCAAAAAATACTTAAAGAGTGCTTTTTTTTTCTGTGCTGTGGCCTCCATCTTTGACAAAGACCATCGACAGAAAAAAGGTAAAAACACAATTTTTGTCGGTGAAAGGGAAGCGCGGGGCTGCCGCCTGAAGGCAAGGCCACCGCCGAGAAAACCGTTAGCTTTTCAGAAAAAAGCTTTTCACGTGACACACACACACACACTCGTTCTATAAAGCACATTCTCGTCATTCAAGAAGAGGCTCCCGAGGCCTCGGCGCTGTGTCAAGGCGCCGCGGTGTGTGCGATTGGGCGATTGAGTGCGATTGGCCGTTTTTTTTACCGTTCTCCACGTGCTCCTCCTCCCCCACGCTGCCCTCCGGGGTGGTCCGCTCGTAGCCCTCCTCCGGCAGCGGCAGCGCGCCGAGCCGCGGCGGCCCCGACGAGCTCTTGCTGCTCGGCGTCTCCGAGTCCTCCAGGCCGCTGTCGTAGCAGCCGGCGTCCTGGGGCTGGCTGACCACGGAGAAGGTCACCCGGCGGAGGGTCCCCTGCGCGGACACACAAGACGCACAGGATATGGGATTAATCATCCGGGATTCCTAATCCGGGGGGGGGGGGGAGGGTCTAAATCCGGGGATTAAGCGGCAGGGTGGGCGAGGGGGTCCGCAAAGACATATTGAGATTATCTAAATCGCGTTCGCCTTGATTATGAGCTTAACGGCGACAATAGCCGGCGACCAATCGCTGCGGCCTTTCAAAGTTTTGTGTTGGCTTTTAATCCCCGTTTAGATTGACGCTGCTGGACAGGGCGGATGTTTACAAACCTCTGGCCGCCCCGCGGACACTTATTTCCCCCCCTCTGGGTGGGGGTTCAGTAGCAGCAGCCGGGCGATATGGAGCCCCCTCTGATAAACACACCACGGAGGGAAGGATGTTGGAATGTAGATTTGCCAACGAATCCCGTTTGAAAATAAATAAGAAATAAACTGCAACGCGATTGATCACGTTGAAGCCCGACGTGGCCTCTGGTCAAACGTCCTTCGCGGGGGGGGGGGCGGCGTTGTGCTCTGCGGGTCCTGTGCTGCCCCGACCAGCTGTGCTCACAGAAGCGTTGTGTGCATGAATATTTTCACCAGGTGACCAGATGTGTTTCACCCGCAGAGGAAAACCTCGGCCGCGATTTAAAGTGTAGCGCGCTGTGGTATTTGTGAATTCCTCCCACGCTGAAGACACGGTTCCAGGAGTCTGAGGATGTGTTTTTTTAATTTGTGATTTTAACCCAATGCAGAAAAGAAAAACATAAAGTCAAAAAGTATTGAACTGTTTTTAGAAGATTTACATCTTCTACTGAGAGACAAATTAAGGCATTGTTTTTATCATTTGTTAACACCATCAGCCTTTTCCTTTAGCTCTGTGAAGACTGTCAGTTCCTAATTTCCTTTGGTTAACCCCTTAACTATTTAAGATATATAATAACCACGAAGGTAATTGGGACGGGGCTAATAAAGCTGTACGTCTCACTCTGAGGCTTTTGAGACCTTATGAACACGAACCGCCACGAACACACATCTTCCCATCCAAGTGGGGATGATTCAGAGCCCAATCCCATCGAGACTCAAATCACCTCGGTCTGGTTAAGAGACGGCCTCTAACTGCGGACGGGGAAAAAGACAATGAAAAAGTGGCGTGATAAGTCGGCGCTGAGACATTATGAGAAGGAGCTAAATGAGTGTGTCTGGCCTGGAGGGAAGCCCGATCCCATGCGACCCCCCCTCCTCTCTCGGCTCAGGCTCAGTTATCCGCTCGCCAAAAAATTACAACCCTTTCAGTTTAGGTGTGCTTTGAAACATGCGGCGTGTAGTGAGGAAGAGAGGGGGGGGGGAACTGTGCCTCGGGACCATCTGGAGGGAAACGGATGGACGGCCCATTCTTCTGTTCCTTCCAAACACCCAAAGAAACATGGAACATTTCACCTAATGCTCAGCAAAACTAATCAAGCAACGGGCGAGGACGGGGGGGGGGGGGGGTAACGCAGCCCCTGTTGCTTGACACACTGCTGGAAAGAGGGACGAGAGAAAAGTGACTCTGACTCTGGAATTGAGAGCCTAAGCGGGACCGAGTAGGAGCTATTAGATTCTGATGGAGAAGCAGCGGTTCTTGGACTCTCAGCGGTTTCATCTCAACTCTCCGCGGAGAGAGAGAGAGACAGAGAGACAGAGAGAGAGACAGAGAGAGAGACAGAGAGAGATGTATTTTTAGAGCAGTGGTTCAGAGAAAGCAGTCCCACGCCTCTCGTTCACACCACGGGGCGAGTGGCACAGAGAGAGACAAGAGGGAGAGAGGGAGCGGATCAGTGGCGAAGGAGTTAATCGTGAGGGCTCATGGCGCTAAGTTAGAGCAGGGGCATCGCAAGGCAAAATACAAATTTTAGGACAAAGGACTGATTAAATTAAATTTGTAATTAAATGACGGATCTCCGACCTTCCGTTCGGAGGTACAATGTGAAAGATGTTTGGATTAGAACCATTTTTTTTGGAGTCACCGAGCAGTGCATCAGATTGTCCAAAATATCTTGTGAAAGTTAGAAAACGCTTCTGGAAATAGCTTCAGAGCAGCAACGGCGCTGCGTAGCATCTCAACCTGCAATATGCCGTAATATAATATAGAGTCCCTGTGCAAAACTTAAGCTTGAACGGCGACTGAATATGTGGCTCGGAAAGTGTGACGAACCTCGCCGGCACTGAAAGATGGACGCTCCTCTGTGCATGGAAAAAAGCTGTAGAAATATGGTGTTTATGAGCACTTCTGTCTCACGTTTGTCTCATTTTATCACCCACAGGTGCATCGCTGTCCCACGGCGCACTGGGGGAACAAAAAGAGCGCAGAGTCACGCTACAGGAGCCATGTGAGCCTCACTTTAACGCTAACGTCACCATGCTAACATGCTCGCGGATGTCAGAGCTAACAAGGGAGATGCTAAATCGGGGCTCAATGGTAACCAAGTCCATTGGACTTGATTGACGGATGAGGAGAGAGTTGCTGGCGTTTGTTATCTGTGTGTGTTTGTGTTGTTGTGTTGTTACAGAATTCATCCGTTCAGCCATGATTTCATCTAATTCGATCTCCCTCAAACCCATTTTCTGTCCAGAGCTGCCCCCCCCCCCCTTCATTCCTTCGTCGCGATAATTCCATTTTCTTTTTTCCCTCCTGCCTTCATTCGGACTCCGCTTTCGTTGTAACGCTGCCTCTCTACTCTCACCAAACCCCCCTGCCCCCCCACACCCCTCACTTCTTCTGCCCGTCAAGCCCGTTATGACGAGGCGATCGATGACGTGTCCTTGACCTCGTTATGAGTCTCTTTTCTCTTCCCAACAGCAGGCTTTATTGAGCCATAACCCCCCCACACACATCCTCCTTTTCTCTCAGCCTCCCTCCTCTCCATCTCATAGACCAGAACCTCTCTGTGGTCCCTCTGGCATCTCAGCATTGATGGGGGTTTGTTTTTTCTCTCCCAAATTTGTCTTCACACGCGTTTACTCATATATTTTCGACTCTCCAGCCATCGTACCATTGCCTCTTCTTCAAGCCTCCTCACGATGACCTCTTTGACCTCTGTTTCCTGTCTGCTTTACCAGCTCCCCTCTTCCTCTGGAAAAGTGTCCCTTGATGTTTCTTCCAGCCTGACTCACAGAGCCTGTTTGTGATCTCTTTCACTCGTAGGGGAGCCGTAATAAAAGCTGATGACTGAACATGGACACGGACGCACGGGGACGCGTTGGCCCACGTCCAGCACGGCCCATGAATTCATGCCTGATGGAATATTAATTGAGTTTGACGGAAGGCATAAAAAAAATTAAAAGAAACCCTTCTCTTTAATCTGACACGGCCCATTACAGTTCACCGGTGACATGGGAGCTCTGCTCGTTTGCAAAGGGCCTGCAGAGCGTGTCCGAGTGGGCAGCGCGTTTGGGGCGCGACCGCGTCCCCGATACAGCGCGGGACGTCCCGTGAAGTTATTCCTGTCAAAAAGCTGTGAATCAAACCCACGCGTGATGCTGTGAACTGAACCGTCTGAATGTTGCAGTTCTGAAAAGAACCTTGACAAAATGAAAAGAAAAAAAAGGTCCCTATATAGCTTTCATTTCACCGCGACTGTGTGTGTGTGTGTGTGTGTGTGTGTGTGTGTGTGTGTGCATATGCTTGTGAGTGAGACTTCACACCTTTGTGTTTTACTGCTGCGTGCAAGACTCTCAAAGCCTCCGAGATGTGTTATGTCAGCCTGTGAGAGTACAGGTGTGTGTGTGTGTGTGTTTTGCAGTTGGAGGTGGCGCATATGTGCGTGCGTCCTCAGGTTGGCTCAGTCATCAATGTAATTAGTGTGTAAACCTCGTCGCTGTCGGTTCAAAGAGAATTAACGAGCTCTGGTTAATTAACAGTCTCCCTCTCTCCTCGCTGCACGTGGACACTTTTTCCTCGCGTGTGGATGTGCGACATCCGCGCGTCTGACTCGTCGCCGCGCATCTGCGAGCGCGTTGGGGCGTGTTTGTGTGTCTGCTTGTGTTTTTGCGACTCTCTGGTCTGCATAATGAATTGACGGGATGCGACTTATATGCATGAACCAAAAGGACAAATAAGGTGTTTGAAGCTGTGTTTTCCTTTTTGGCTCAGTCTCGATTTACAGAGACGAGCCGTCACGTTGCGGCCGATCGTGTTACTCATGAGTTTAGGACAAACCGTGTTGGTTCCTGATTTTGGTCATAACATCAGGAAAGTCACGTCAGAGGAGTCATGTGTAATCCCCACTTTAGCTATCAGCAAGCAGCAGTAGTAAATACACCAAACTCAAACTCAGAATTCATTTTTCTGCACCAAATACTCACATTTTTTATTCCCGATTACTTTATTGGTATTTGATGGAGGGGACGTAGCCACATTAGTTGAAGAAGGCTCAATAATTACATTTAGACTAAACAGCCCTCAGTTTGATTCTAATTAAGTATAAAAAGTGTTTTTTTTTTCTTCTTTATTAAAAACGAATCAGACTTGGCAGGGGGGAACTAATGGAGTGAGAATTCTTTTCGGTTTTCAAAAACTTTCATCCCTAATAAACCCGGGCGTGGGGAGGGATTAAGGCTTTTCCGCGGGCCCACAAACGGGGGGGGGAGAAGCTTTTCTTTTTTTATTCCCCCCCCCCCCCCCCCCGCGTTTGAGGCGAGGCAGAAGTCGGATAGTTTCATGAGCCGAACGTCAATCAGGCGGACACCTGGCATCCGATGTGTAATCGCTCCCTCCAGACGGCCGACTTTTCCTAACGCTGACCGAGGGGTGCAGCTCGGCGTGTTAATATCCTCGCCGGGCGCCCGTCACCGCGGCTTTTCAGCCTGCGGACGTGTGGTATTTAATGCCGAGCCTCCGTACTCCGCAATGTGATTATTTTCCTGCCAGAAAAAAAAACGGATTGTCTGTGACCCTTGTGGGAACACCGAAAAGTCTCAATTAAAGGGCGGATTCATGGAAATTTGGAAGTGGCTTAGCGGCTCCGGTGGGC